GGATCATTGCAGTATGGAGCATAGATGCAGTTGGATAGAGTTCAATCTAAATTTAGTCCGAGATCAAACCTCGGTATTCACCCTTCTCCCTCCCTTAAAACAAGACCCACTCTGATTAGGAACCTCATAAAAAAGTACCATACCATATTATGTGCACTGAGCCCAACCTCTTCTGTTAGACAACATAAATGAGCCATTTCAAGACCGCCACTTACTCATAGAGGCGATATGCCAACCTCAAAAGGTATTAAAAGCTGGGGTTCAACCAGGTCTTCAGCTAAGACGTAAAGAGCAAGGTGCCCAGAATTCACAACAACGAGTTCGGGTCTCGTTCAAGGCCAAAGTTTTGCCACTATCTTGGCAACGTTCTTATGAATTCCGCATTGCAAACGGCAGTAAAACAACAATTGTTTCAATGATTGACTCGCTTTGGCACTTAATTCTTGGGTGATTATTTTAGCAGGCCAACATTCTAGTAAGCCGTAAAAATAGAAAAATGACTACCTTTTCCTTGTTAGTGATGGCATTACAAGCAATGAGGTCTAAAATACCATCAGAGAACATTTCCGTGTGAATGCCGAGATCTTTGTGGTTTTTCATAGCAGCTAGAGCAGCGTCAGGTACTGCTCCAATACCTGAATGCAAAGTATGTCAATAGGGATCCCAATTATCTATGGAGCCACCGTACTCTACAATATCAGAAGCACTAGTGAAATGGTTTCAAATGAAAATGTAAAGATCCAAGAAGGACATAAATGCCTACCGTCATTTCATTATTGCTTGAAGCGACTACCACCTATAGCTTCGGAACATTTTACTCCTGGTGATATGATGCTACGGTGGTAGCACGGTCGAAACTTAAAATTGTGCCGAATTTTTTAGCAGGCCAACATTCTAGTAAGCCGTAAAAATAGAAAAATGACTACCTTTTCCTTGTTAGTGATGGCATTACAAGCAATGAGGTCTAAAATACCATCAGAGAACATTTCCGTGTGAATGCCGAGATCTTTGTGGTTTTTCATAGCAGCTAGAGCAGCGTCAGGTACTGCTCCAATACCTGAATGCAAAGTATGTCAATAGGGATCCCAATTATCTATGGAGCCACCGTACTCTACAATATCAGAAGCACTAGTGAAATGGTTTCAAATGAAAATGTAAAGATCCAAGAAGGACATAAATGCCTACCGTCATTTCATTATTGCTTGAAGCGACTACCACCTATAGCTTCGGAACATTTTACTCCTGGTGATATGATGCTACGGTGGTAGCACGGTCGAAACTTAAAATTGTGCCGAATTTTGTCTTTGTTTCGGCTAAACCTGTGTCAATCTGGGCCTGTTGGAGTTGCGACTAGTTTAAGAAAAAAGGTATCCGTCGTATTCACTCTAGCCCCATCAGAATTTAGCTGACTCCCCGTAAGAATGTCCTGATGTTCTTTATTACAACTTCTTATCAGAAGAAGATCCAAATTGCGCTTACCCATTTGAAGCGTTGATCCGTTGTCAACCAAGTTCTCAGCGATGATCTGTCCGATCTTCTGTTCCTCCTCGTTGTCCTTGCCAAAATGCCGTTCGTGCAATGGAAACGATGAATATTCTTCGACAAGGACGTCAATGTGTGATGAGTGGATTACACCATCTCCAAACGTTCTTGGCATGTTCTTGCTTACCATGGCTAAACTAATAGAATCAGTCTAAAAGAAGTGGGAGAAGCGACATCTTAGCCCATAAAAAAAACCGGAGATGCTACGTTTTGTTGTGAGAAAAACGGAAGAAACGGGAGAAAGGGCACACCCCTCTAGTGAGAGTGTACCGCGTGCTCTGTAAATCTTTATTTTTATCTTTTTTTTTCCTTATTCAGTTCTTTTCTGCTCTTGAACACCCCGTGTTTCTCAGCATAAAAATGAGTTTACTTCATGCTTACTACGAATACATAAATAACAAGGTTCGTTCGCTCCGTTCATCACGAGAAAGGTCTGGTGTCATAATTCACCACAAAGTAATTGAAATGTCCTTCTTCCCGGAGAATCTTTCCGGTGAGTATAAACCGCGCTACTGTCCCCTCCTTGTTTCAGAGGTATCAGCTTTTATTGCTTTGGTCACACCTAGTTTATGGGGTTATCTTCCTTCTCAGTGGGGTAAAAGGATGAAAAAAAAACAAAGTATTAGGGCGTTAAACAAGCCTGTTTAAGGGATGCGCCCACGCATAGGACTCCCATTTGGAATCGTAGCGAATTGAATGCGTATGTGGCTATACAATGACTTGCGGTGACCAGCCGATGTACAAGTCAGGAATTTCACTCTCCCAGACTAATCTGGGACCAATCAACCGACTCCGGAGGAAGGCTTCGTTGGATCAGACGAATATCGATCCAGGATTCGAGCCGGTGACCATGGATGTGATAAGTGCCCCACTTGCCAGCACACCACATCCTTCCTAATAAATTGGTGTATTTGAAAAACTGTGAAGAAGGATAAGGGATAATGTGGGGACACTATATATAAACGCCGGAATGAAAAGCCTCGATAAAAATGAAAGTAGAAGAGTAGGAATCTGAGATGGATTTCAGTAGTTCCATCCCACAACAAATGATAATTCGATGAGAGATGGTTGCCACCCCAAAATCCCTCAGAAGAGCTTAATGCCTAGATAAGCAACTGATTGAACAAAGCTGAAAAATGATCAAAGTGGCTTGTCCATTCATTTTCTTACTCATTGAAAGCACCTTGGAAAAAAGGAAAAAANAAAAAATAAAAATAAATAAAAAATAAGTGAAATTAAATATAAAAATATGGAAATAAAAAAGTACAAAGATAAATGATAAGGAGCAGGCATGCTTAACTTTACTCGTCGTCCAAATGATCTAGGCCTCACCTATTATATGGTCAGCATTCGCTACACCTGCTCTCGACACATCCACAGATGTGCCTAAAGAGCAGTAGCCGTTGGCATCTGGCTCAGACACCTGAAAAGCTCTTGCTTGCCCAGAACATTAGCAAATCCTCATATGCAGTACTGAACCTGATAGTACTGCATACCTACTATATAGAATCTTCGTCGAAACGCTACACTCACATGAATTATAGCGGCGTTGACTTTGATGGCTCCCTTACGAAAAAGCATCGGAACTTCATGAAGAAAGCATGAGTTGAAGTCGGCGATACCTGAACATTTGAGAGAACAACTCTTTAGCAGTTTCAGCAGCGTAGGTCTACCTATTTGCATGAGCCGTTTAAATCCATTATTCTCATTGATCATTAACAGAATGAAGTTTTCTGGAGCCGATCAACCCGATGGGGGCTTACTGACCCCTTGAAAACGAGATGCGCTCACTTTTCGTTTTTATGCGAAATTGTATAGGTGTTTGAAAACTTATTCAGTCTACACAATGAATAGCGAAGGCCAGCTGATCCGCATGCCAGCGCTCTGCCTTTCCAAACCAATCTTGCACCAGTCCGTATAATCAAGTTCAGAGGGCCGAAAGCTTGGTTAGTCGGACCGGATGTCTAGTCGGGATTGGACAATGATTCTGTGACCTTATCCCTGGGCACAACCCCACCTTCGCCCACCCAAATTCACATTCACAGAGAGCAATATGTCATGTGAGCCAGTTATTTGCTTAATTCCTTTTGTAAATGTTTTCTGATAATACTGGCAATCCTTCCTGGTTTGATCATGGCTCTTGATCATGGACCCAATTCTTTCGGATTTGCTCTGATGTCCCCATATCCACCAGGTTTGAATACCTCTGTATCAAAAGGAACATTCAAATGTTCATGTTTCTGCTTTGAAGGACTTTAAATTACGCTTTTGTCAGTAACACATATCTAAGTTTTCTACTTTAGGCTGCCTTTCTATATGACAGAGTGTTTAAAATCCCGTAAGACAGAGTTGGTTGAACAGAGCATCGAACATACCTTCATTTACTGCTTCCCGTAGATTACCGCCAGTGAAAAGAGAGTTGGAACGGATACGATCTAAAAAAGGCGTTAATGGATACGTTGATTAGAAAGTGAGGAGAGCCGCACCTTTCACATCCGGAGCTGTCCACGGTGTTTCTCCTTCGAGATGCAAGTGATGCAACTTGATTCCTTTCAGGTCATTCGCTTTTGCATACTCGCAGAGACCCTTTAGCAGAGGAGTTGGCGTGGCTGCGATTCCATGCACAAAGATGTTGTCACCTGAAAACTTCCCCAAGAACAGTATTTCAGTCACCCCCTCGAAATTCAGTTACTCTTTTTATCCCTTAGGTCAATGTGGAGGTATACTCCTGAAGTGGAATAATCCCATTCGTTTTTTTTTTCTCGAGTTTCCCTCGAAGGAGCTCTGACAACTCGAGTTTATGTGTCGGTGCCTATTCTCTCCAAAACCGCAATGATTATTAGTCAATTTGAGGGGATAGGGATTTTCGCATGCTGTACATAACGGCTTGCTGTTCGGGACTTTCACCACTACCCCTACCATACTGGATGTTTTCATTAGCACCACCGGCTATTCTAAGTCAGTCCACGACCCATCTTTTAGCAACAACAGCAATATACTCATACAGCGCATTCCGCTCAACCAATCATTACTTCAATTGCTCGGGAAGACATCCGACTCTTTTCAGGGTGTATTTGAAAATTGAAAACTTCGGGGAAAAATATCCCAAAAAGACCTACCTGTCTTGATGCCATTGAAAGCCTCCGCTAAGGTGCAGTCCTTAGGCTCCTTGCCATGAATGGGAAACGTTATTTCGTTCGCATCGGTAAATGCTAACGGGGCTCTGAAAATTAGAACTACTGAGAATGACGAGTATGGAGTTGCAACATCCTAAAACACTCCGGTTAAAACCCTCATTTGTATAAATCGAGTTTGCCAAATTCAAAAGAAAAACTCATCGTTTTTCTGGTGGACGGTGTAGGCTGTAGGCTTCTCTTCAGGTTTAACAAAGCTTTGAGTTGATAGAAAATGGGCTACGCAAGGAAGGATCAAGTCATG